TTCTGTATGGGCGAATGTGCCGCATTGGGTAAGTGGAGGGATGGGACATGATAAGTGGTAACGTGAGTGGGCAACCAACATGAGCCAATAGGTCTCTCTCTGCAGCATCGTGGGTTTCAGAGGGAAGCTCCAGCGGAGGGCCGCCGGTCAGAGACCTATCAGCTCTGTCATCCGCCCAATCACAAACCTCCAATCCACAGCTCTTGCGAACGAAAGTACACTCAAACCGGGAGGGTGTCGAGGCAGGGGGGGAGGAGGAGGACGGAGGAGGAGAAGGACGGGAGGAGGAAGGAGAGGGAGGGGGCTCGACGAGGATGGAAGACGAGGACGATGAGGTGGAGAAGGAGGAGGAACTGGTGGGCCGTGGCGAGTCGCCCGCTTGTCAGGGTGTACGTCGTCGGGGCTTCGGGCCTGAAGAATTGCGCGACCTCCAAGCAGCGCGGCACGTCGGACCCGTACTGCACGGTGTGGGTCGACACGAAGCCTGGCACGAAGGCCCACACGGAGGTGGTCGCGAGCTCCCTGTCGCCGGAGTGGCGGGCGCGGCTGGAGGTCCCGTGTTTCCAGGCCGGCCACGGCTGGCGGGCGGGCGAGACGTAGAGGAGGCAGAGATACCGGTACCGCTACCTCCCGTCGCCGCCGCGGCTGGGTTCGCCTCGAGAGCCTGGCCAGAACGCGCCATGGGAGAGGACCAGGGACCGGTTCGGTCCCCCGGAGGTAGCGGGGAGGGGGAGCACGTCTGGGGGCCCCACAGCCGTGTGGTGACAGAGCGCGCGATGACCTCGGAACCCCTAAGAGACCTCACCGCACAGTTTAGGACACCTGGAGGCCCCATTCGCTGGGGAGACATCCTGGGAGAAGGATTCAAGTCCCCAAACCGCGTGGTGACTCCGAATCCCCACTGACTCGCCATGCGGTGTGGTCCACACCGCTTTGGGGCCCCCCTGGGGAACCCGCGGGGGTGCTATGGGGATATTGGGGTTTTCTGAGTGGGTGCTGAGGCTTGGGCGGGTTATGTTTGGCCAGGCCTGGCTGATGAATGGATCACAAGTGCCCCAAGCTGATCAGTGGGTTTGCACACGTCTGGCCCAGAGGGTTCCCGGACGACCCAAAGAAGGGTGCCACCGGGACCCCTGGAGGACCCCAAGACCCCAACGACGGCCCCTCCCGCCCTCCCTCCCTCCCCCCCTCCCTCCGTCCCTCCCTCCCTCCCTCCCTCTCTCCCTCCCTCCCTCACTCCCTCCCTCACTCCCTCTCCAAGGGCACCAGGCAGCGAGCGAATGCGGCTGCCAGGCAGCCCCAGAGTGCCCCAAGACGGCCCGCGAGAGTTCGGGGAGACCCCCGAGAGGGGCCAAGCGAGCCCCCCGAATAGCGCCGAGACAGCCGCAGGGCTGCCCAACCGGGCCTTTTGGACTCAGGCGCAATCGAGCTTGTTTCGCATTGGCTGTCGGCCACTCCTGCGCTGCGTTTCTGGGCCTCGCGCACGAGGAGGTCGCGCCTTGGAAAGCATATATCGCGCAGGGCTTTCGCCAGAGAAATGGGCATCTGGCGTGCTGAGGCCGCCTGCTGAATCTTGAACAGAGGATTCCCCACGTTACGAGCGCCGAGCGCCGACGCTGCCGCCGTCGTCGTGTCGCCGTCGTGCTTGTCGTCGCCGTCGTCGCTTTTGCCGTCATCGCCATCGTCTTCGTGGTCGCCGTCGTCGCCGCCGCCGTGGCCACATCGCCTTCGTTGCCGTCGTTGCCGCCGTCCACCGTCGTCGCCGCCGTCTGCGTCGATCGGCCGATCCGCGCGGTCGGCCCGCTGGTCGCCCAGAGGTTTAACCGTCTTAGTGTGGCTTCCGCGATTCCCATTCGAATGGGGCGCATGGGGCGAATTAGGCGGGTGGTGAGAGGCAGGGTTCCCCCTTTCAAAAGTAAACTACTACTTGTTGCAATTGAGGCAAAACCATTCACAATGCAGTCAAGATGCTGAGGTAAGGGCCAACTCCTGCTTCGGGGGGGGGCTCTGGCTTTAGGGCCGTCCCTTTGATATGATAGAGCACTTTCTGTGCTCGGTGTCGTCGTTGTCGCCGGCGTCGTCGTCGGCGTCGGCGGCGTCGGCCTTGTCGTCGGCGTCGTCGGCGGCGCCAGCGTCGGCGTAATCTTCGGCGTCGGCGTCCGCGTCGTGCTCGGCGTCGTGCTCGGCGTCGTGCTCTTCGTCGGCGTCGGCGTTTGCGTTGGCGTCGTTGTCTGCGTTGGCGTCGCGCTCGGCGTCGTGCTCGGCGTCGTCACCAGCGTCGGCGTCAGCGTCGGCATCGGCGTCGTGCCCGGCGTCGCTGGCGTCGGCGTTGTCGTCGGCGTCGTTGTTGGCGTCGGCGTCGTCGTCGACGTCGGCGTCGTATTCGTGCTCGGCGTCGTGCTTTTCGTCGGCGTCGTCGTCGTCGTGCTCGGCGTCGGCGGCGTTGTTGGTGGCGTTGTCGTCGGCGTCGTTGTTGGCGTCGGCGTCGTCGTCGACGTCGGCGTCGTTTTCGTGCTCGACGCCGTGCTCTTCGTCGGCGTCGTTGTCGTCGTCGTCCTCGGCGTCGTGCTCGGCGTCGGCGTCGGGAGCGTTGTCTGCGTCGTGCTCGGCGTCGTGCTCGGCGTCGTGCTCGGCGTCGTGCTCGGCGTCGGCGTCGTCGTCGGCGTCGTCGGCGGCGCTGCGTTGGCGTCGCGCTCGGCGTCGTGCTCGGCGTCGTGCTCGGCGTCGTCGTCAGCGTCGGCGTCAGAGTCGGCATCGGCGTCGTGCCCGGCGTCGCTGGCGTCGGCGTTGTCGTCGGCGTCGTTGTTGGTGTCGGCGTCGTCGTCGAAATCGGCGTCGTATTCGTGCTCGGCGTCGTGCTTTTCGTCGGCGTCGTCGTCGTCGTTGGCGTCGTGCTCGGCGTCGGCGTCGTTGTTGGCGGCGTTGTCGTCGGCGTCGGCGTCGGCGTCGTTGTCGTCGTCGTCCTCGGCGTCGTGCTCGGCGTCGGCGTCGTTGTCGTCGTCGTCGGCGTCGTGCTCGGCGTCGGCGTCGGCTTCGTTGTCTGCGTCGTGCTCGGCGTCGAGCTCGGCGTCGTGCTCGGCGTCGTCGTCGGCGTCGACGTCGGCGTCGGCGTTGGTATCGGAGTTCGTCAGCGGCGTCGGCCTCGTCGGCATCGTGCTCGGCATCGTCGTCATCGTCGTCGTCGTCGTCGTCGGCGCGTCCTCGTCGTTGTTGTCTTCGCTGTCGGCGCCGTCTCTGTCGTCGTCGTCGCCGTCCCCCCCCCCGAGCCGAGGAGGGTGGGCTCCACCCCATCCCAGGGTTCGAACCCAGGGGGGGGGAGTCTTACCCACCCCTCCCGGGTTTCCGGGCGGGGGGGCATGTTTCCAAGCAAGCGCCCGCGAAGCACGCTCTCTCTTAGATCTAGATGGCTGACCGGCGGCCGCCGCCCGCGTGTTCGGCCGCGCGGCCGGGAGCGCACCGCCAGCAGCCCGAGTGGGCCGCGTGCTCGACCGCCCCCTTCCTCCCCGCCGTCGTCAAGACGCTGAAGCGCTTGGGCTCCGGTGGTCTGGCTCTGGCTTTCTCCTCCTCCTCCTTCTCCTTCTCCTCCTCCTCCTCCTCCTCCTCCTCCTCCTCCTCTCCTCCTCCTCCCTCCTCCTCCTCCTCCCTCCTCCTCCTCCTCCTCCTCCTCCTCCTCCTCCTCCTCCTCCTCCTCCTCCTCCTCCTCCTCTCGCAGGGCCGTCGGGCGTTCCCGATCCGGCGCCGCGCGCCGCCGCGCGCGTCGGGCGCACCTCGGGCGGGAGGTGCGGGGCCCCCTGGTCCACCGGGGGGACCCTATTTCCGAAGCAGGAGGGGGGAAGGAGAGCGGCCACCCGCCCGTGGTCTGTCCTGAGGCCCACAGCGAGAGGGGAGGGGCGAGGAGAAGCGGCTGGGCCGCTCATGGGATGTGGAGGTACAGGCTCCTCCTCCTCCTCCTCTCCCTCCTCCTCCTCCTCCTCCTCCTCCTCCTCCCTCTTTCCGCGCTCCCTTCTCCTCCTCGGCGTCATCCCCCTGCTCTGGCTGCTGCTGCCGCTGACGCCGCCGCCGCCGCCGCTCGAGGGGTCCCTGGAGAGGCCCCCAGACAGACCCTCCGTAGAGCCAGGACACTGATCGGCGGCGAACGAGGAGAGGACGTAAGAAGGAGAAGGCCCTTTGAGAAGGCGGCGGCACCTCTCAGAAGCACTGGCGCCTTCCCAGAAGGTTTCTGTGCCTTCGGGGAAGGCTCAGAAAACTTTTAACAAGGCCGGGGGACTTCCGAGCCTTCTGAGAAGGCTCGTCCCCTCCCACTTCCCCCCGAGGGCTCGCCGCGAGGAGGAGGAGAGGGAGGAGGAGGAGGAGGAGGAGGAGGAGGAGGAGGAGGAGGAGGAGGAGGAGGAGGAGGAGGAGGAGGGACTGCGTTGGGAGTGCGGAGGAGGGGCTCTGGCTTTCGGGCCGTTGCTCGGGCCCAGCTCGGGGAGAGACGGCGCGCGGCCGAAGCCCGCCGTGGCCAGAGCAGCCCTTCTTCTGGCTGGCTGGCTGGCTGGCTGTGGCCCTGGGCCTGGCTGGCTGTGCAGGCGGAGGTCCCCGGTGAGGCGCGATCGGCGCGAGGGGCGTGCCGGCCTCTGGCGGAGGGGGGGGCGGGGCGCGCGAGCCCTCCCACGGGGGGGGGGCGCAGGCCGGGCCCCCCGCGGGGGGCGCGTGCCGACGGGGGGCGAAGCGAGCGCAGCTGGGTCTGCTCCCGCGGGGGCCGTGGCTGGAGCTGCCGGTGGGGCACGATCCGCGTGGGCGCTGCGGGAGGTGGGGCGGGGCGGCCGGCATCGCACGCGGCGGCGGCCGGCAGCGGCTGCCAGCAGCAGGGGCAGCTCGGCAGCAAGCGGCGGGGAGGGAGGCGCACGCCGCAGCTGCAAGGAGACGAGGACACAGCTCCACTGGAGGGTCTGCATCAGCCGAGGCATGTCGAGAACCTCAGCGTCGTCGTCCTTGTCCTCCTCTTCCAAAGGCAGCCTGGCGGCCTCGTCCCCCTCCTGCCCCCTTTGCCTTCTCCTCCCATTCGCTGCGTCGTCGGGTCGGTGTCTGCAGATGTCCTGAGAGGCCTGCGGAGGCTCCGAGAAAAAACTGCTGCTGAGCTATTTTGCTCGCTGTGATACTCGGGATGGTCGTCCCTTAGGGCGCATTCGAGCCACGTTTATGTAATGCCTACACACACTCACAAGCCATAAGCCATCCGGCGCGTGGGCAGGAGCATAGTCTCAAGCAGCGACGCGAAATGGAGGGTGAAACGCTGCGCCAGCTAAGTGGATCAAGACGAGGAGGAGGAGGAGGAGGAGGAGGAGGAGGAGGAGGAGGAGGAGGAGGAGGAGGAGGAGGAGGAGGAGGAGGAGGAGGAGGAGGAGGAGGGAGGAGGAGGGAGGAGGAGGAGGAGGAGGGGAGGAGAGGAGAGGAGGAGGAGGAGCAGGAGGAGGAGGAGGAGGAGGAGGAGGGGGGGGGCCAAAACCCATCGCCCCTGGTCCGCTTTCGGGCGCCAGGCGGGCGACGACCTGCGCATCATGGTGAGGCACTCGAGGTTCGGGGCGTCCGCCAAGACGTCGAAGGAAGACGTCCTCCTGGGCCAGGCCCCGGCTCCGGCTCATGCTATCATGTGGTTACGTTGGGCCTGTCTCTCTGCTGTTATGTCGGGCGTGTCCCCCTTTACGGGGATTTTTCGACGAAAAATTGAAAATACCACATCATACCCACAAGGGTCAACAAAAATCAAAACATTCCCCCGACTATGCTTTGGCTACTAAAAAATATGTTTGGGGTATTTTTACTTTTCGTCGAAAATCCCCCTGTAGGGGGACAGGCCCGACTTAACTCTACTGGTGGAAAATTCAACAATAGTCAAAACATAATCAGGGGACGATGCTTTTCCCCTTTTTGTTTGAGGGGGGGCTGTTGTCGAATATGTTTGGAGTGCTTTTATAGTTTCCTCCGAAATCCGCCTGTAGGAGGACATGCCCGACCTAATCATGTGGATTCGAGATCGATTTTGGCGGGCCCGGTTCGATGCAGGAGCTCCGACGGTCCGCTCGAAGAAGAAGAAGAAGATGAAGAAGAAGAAGAAGAAGTAGATGAAGAATAATAATAAGAAGAAGAAGACGAGTAAGAGACGGCATAAAAGGAAACTCTTGGCGATACGCGCGGGTTTCTCGGATCCGATCTGGGCCTCCCAGGGCGGCGCCTCCAGCTCCGCCCCTGGCGCGCTCCTCGCGCCAGGCATGGGGGTCCAGCGCAGATCCAAGAAATCCGCGCCGACCTCCAACAAGTTTATGTTTATGCCGTTTTTTCTCCCTCTGGATGCGGCTTGATGTCTGCATGTCGTAATTGTGCATCCTGACGTTGCTGACCGCTTCGATGCTGACCCCGTGCCGGCGAGCCTGTGCATCCCGATCCGACGCACATTCGGATGTCATCCGGAGTCTCGATTCGATGTTGACGGATGCTGCATTCCCCTTCCTGTTTCCTCCTTCGTTCTCCTCCTTCCTGGTCGTCGTCGTCGTCGCTTTGGAACGTTGCTAGTCCACTTTGAATGCGTTGGTCCCCTTTGTGGGGCCTCCAGACTCTTCAGACTCTTGATGGCTCTTGGGTCGTCTTGCGACCTGCAGGGACCTCCAGGCAGCCTACCTGCTGATTCCTCATTCCTCCGTCCCACGGAGAGCTTTTCTGTAGATTCTGGCAGGCTTGCTTACATGGGTGGCGTGGCGAGGCGAGGGGACCCGAATGGAAATCAGGACTTTACGCCAGTCCTGGCGCACTTGTACGCCTTTTCGGCCCAGGGCTGTGTGAAAAGGCGGCGGGGGGGAGTGGAGGGGAGTGAGGCGGCGGGCAGGAGTGGCGGGGGGGAGGGGACAGGCCATACGCGTAAACTCGCCTGCGTCTAAAATAAAACGCCTTCACGCCTCTTCAGACTCCTGGGGGGAAACATGATCCTCACGAACCGGTTCGGCTCGAAAGTCGCAAACACGAGGCTCCTTCGGCGAATCATCGCCTTCCCCCTTTCCTTCTGCAAACGCTTGTGCCGCGGAATGTCGGCGAAACTGCGGCCGCTCTTCTGTGATTGCTGTTCGAACATGTTGCTTCCTGCGCATCATCTTCGGCACCGCCTGGTCCCAGGGCTTCGCCCCCTCCCGGCCGCCGTGAGGCCCCGTCTTCTTTCGCACTGTCTCTGCTAATCAAAGCTGTGCGCGTCCCGCCTAGCTTTCAGCGGAAGAGGTTCGCTCTCGCCCCGCAGATAAAAAACATGCTGTTCGAGCACGTTGGACCTTCTCGGTGGTGCCACTGGGGCCTTCTTGAGCTGGCCTGGGCCGCTGGTGGGGCCGCGTTTGCGCGCCCCTGGGCCGTCTGGCGCCCTGGGAGGCCCCTCGCGGGCGGGCGTCGGCACACAGTGCCGTTTTTGATACATGCTCCGCGTGCAGATCACGTATTGAACATGCAGGGGTTTAGTATTAAAAACAACGATGAGTTCGTGCATAAATGCATTCGCAAATCCCATATATCAAAATTTGCCCTGTATGGCAGCTGGCTCAGCACTGGATCGCCCCAGTGTGAGGCGAAGCGTGGGGCTGCTCGCGCGCGGGGGCCTCGCCTGTGCAGGCGCACGGCTAGAGGAGGTCTCGAGCGGAAGCCTCCTCGTGCGTGGCCCACTGACCCGAGGCGCTCAGCGGCAGGCTGCGGCAGGCGTGGCTCGCGAGCGCCCCGCGGCGGCAGGTCGCGAGGATGCCTCGGGCGGGCACCTCCGTCTGCGAGTGAATCCGACGAGTCCTCGAGCGGGAGCCGCCTCGCCATGGGCCAGCACGTTTTATGAGTACTCCGGTGAGGTCGTCGGCGTAGTGTGAAGGCACAGTACTTAAGCATCCCCAATGGGCAAATCGTAAGGACGTGTCGAGCGGGGGTCCTTGTCTGTGACTGGATTCTGAGGGTGTCTTTATTGGGGGGGCCCTTAGGCCGCACATGTTACACAGGTCGCACAGGTCCCATGGGCCGAGCAACTCCCACAGGTTCCACAAACCCTGCGTCCGAAAAGGCTTCGCAGGTCGCACATGTCCCACAGGTTTTCAGCTCTCCCAGGTCTCACAGGTCCCACAGGTCTCACAGGTTTCACAGGCACACGTTTTACAGACCCCGCAGGACCCATAGTATCCACAAGTTCCATGGGTCCCACACCTCCCTCAGGGCCCGCAGGTCCCACAGGCCCGACAGGTCGCACAGGTCCCACAGGTCCAAACAGCCCGACAAGCCCCACGGGCCCCATAGGTTTCACAGGCCCCAGAGGCCCCTTAGGTCTCACAAGTTTCAAGGTTTCCACAGGACCAACAGGGCCCACAAGTTCCACACGCCCATCAATTCCCTCAAGCTCTCCAGGCCACTGACCCCACAGGGCCTGCAAGTCCAACCATGCCCACCAGTCCCACAAGTCCAACAAGCTCAGCAGGTCGCACAGCCCCGCCCCACACGTCCCGCAGGTCGCATCCAGGTATTCTGGCAGCCTGGCATCACCGCCATTGTTGATCGTTGATGATGTGAGAGTCTCATGCGCACGAACGAGATTATCATACGGAGTCCTTCTGTCCGATCTGTTTTTTTCGGCGGCTTCATCATAGTAGGATTATGTTCGCAGCGGGTTGCAACATCATTCCCACTGTGTCGGGTTATGAGGATATTATTGTCGTTAGTGGTTGGGTTTGGGGCCTCGACTGACAGATGGAAATTAATTACATTTCGAGTTCACTGATTGCCAATTGCAAATTCGAACATGAGACACTTGAACACCTCAGTCGGAGACCGCCTGGATTGAAACATGAACATGGAACATGTGCAACTTATTCATTCCATATTGAAATATTCTGAAAATTTACAAATGTTCAATCGGGGACTTCCCCGAATGAAAGTGAGAAAGATTAGCATGTTCAATCCTGGTGCCGCGCATGTGAAGCATTGGAAACATACCAGTTAATTCAATCCGCAGAGGTCAAAGTTGTCAATTTCACTGTGCAGGTTTGCAGTCCCGCGCTGGCAGGAAGGCCAGTCGGTGCTGGCATCCCGAGGCCCCTATGGTGTCTGACCGGGCGGGGCCAGGGCGAACGGGCGGAGCGGGTCTGCCCCGCCGCGACACTCGAGGGCAGGGCTTGCTCGACTCGCGCCAACGAGGGCCTCGAGGACGGGCGAGGCGGATCGGCCGAGCGGGCATCAGGGCGTAGAATCCTGGGCCGTGTCGGGTGGAACCCCGGACATTCTCAAAGCGTTGCGTGTACCCGCCAGCGCTTAGGCAGTTTAGGTTGTCGGCTCTAGTTTGCTGTTGTCAATTAGTAGGCCCGCGCCCCGGACCTAAGACACGCCGTGTGCGCTTTCGCCCGCGGCCACGACAAAAAAAAAGTGCACCCGCCAGCCTAGCTGTCCGGAGACGGTGACTGGGCGATTGGCCTTGCTCAGTTGCCTGAGAGTCTGTGGCGCCGTGCCGTGTTCACCCCATTCCCTGCCCCTTCGCTGCAGTGAAACCTCGCCGGACCGCTACGAAGACCACCTCGTCTGTCTGAGTCGTCAAGATCTCCCCAGCCAGGACACGAGCCACTCTCCCCTTCCCCTCCCCTCCACTCCCTCCCGTCCCCTCCCCTCTTCCTGTCCTTCTCTTTCCCTTTCCCCCCTTCCCCTGCTCCCTTCCGTCCGTGCGCGGCGCGACGACGACGGCAACGATGGCAAGCAATGACAGGATCCACTACACATCAGCAACACTGGGACGCATTGGAAGAGCAACGTGTGGCTTACCACAGCGATTGCATCCGCGTCTGACTGGGCCCCAGCCCGCACGCCGCGCCCTTGCAGCGCTGGCGCCTCGCCTCGCCTCGCCTTTTCCCCCCCCTTCTCCTCCCCGCACCCAGAGGTCCCTGGAGGCAACTGTTCTCCCTCTCTCTCTCTCGCTCTCTCTCTCTCTCTCTCTCTCTCTGTTTCTCACTACCCTGACGGGCGACCCCGGCGAGCGCACTGTGTGGGGCACCCGCGAGTCGGGCGGGCGGTGCTTTCGAGCGTGGAGCCCCATCAAATGCGGTCGAGGTGGCCAGGGCGCAACGCAGGGCGGGGCGGGGCGGGCGGGACGTGGCAGCGCGGAGTTTTCCCGAGTCTGCTCGAGGGGAGGCGGGGGGGATATGATGGGTAGAGCGGGTCTGGCGGCCGGAGCCGTAGAGCTACGGTGAAGTCTCGGGTCTTGTCGTTTCTGATGGGGCCTGCCGTGGAGAAGGGGCGGGGTGGGCTGGGCGGGCGGGACACTGCGATTAAGTCGGGCCTGTCCCCGTACAGGGGGGTTTTCGACGAAAAATGAAGAATACCCCAAAACTACCCCCAAAAAGTCAACAAATACTAAAAAAAATAGTCCCCAGGTTATTTTGGGATATTTTTTTTGATATTTTTGGAGTATTTGTTATTTTTCGTCGAAAACCCCCCAGTAGGGGGGGATGCCCGATTTAACATTACGGTGTGAGGCCCCGAGCATCGTCGCAAGGTGTGGCCTGGCGACCGGGCGAGGCAAGGCAGGCGGCCGGGCACCTCGGGCGGCTGTTTCCCAGCCATGAAGGTGCTTGCGGCCAAGAACCAACACTTCGTCGTCGTCGTCCTCCTCCTCCTCCTCCTCCTCCTCCTCCTCCTCCTCCTCCTCCTCCTCCCACCTCCTCCTCCTCCTCCTCCTCCTGCTCCTCCTCCTCCTCCTCCTCCCATCTCCCACCTCCTGCTCCGCATCCTCCTCCTCTGGCAGGCCGCGCGTGTGCATAGCGCGACCCACTGCCTGCGTCTCCTGTCTTTCGCTTATTCCTCCCGCTCGTCCCCCTCTCCCGAGGCCGCGGGCGCCCCCGGGGGCGGGAAGATGATCCCGATTCGGGCGACGCGGCCTGGGTTGGAGCTCTGCCGCCTTGCAGGGGAGCTCGCGAGGGCACGAAGGTACTCGCTTGCGTTGACGACGACGACGATGACGACGACGACGACGACGTGAGCTGCAGGCCCCGTCTTCATTGTCTACCCGAGCTGAGCCAATCTAGCTGGGCCACAGGGAAGAGAGCAAGGGAGAAGCTGAAATTTGGGGAAGGTTAGGCGAGGAGGAAGCGGAGCAGGAGGCGGGAGGAGGAAGAGGAGGAGGATGAGTGAGGAGGAGGATGCGGGAGGTGGGAGGTGGGATGGGGAGGTGGAGGAAAAGGAGAAGGAGATGGGAGGTGGGAAGTGCGAGGAGGTGCGAGGAGGAGAAGGAGGAGGAGAAGGAGGAGACGTAGGAGAAGGAAGAGGAGGAGGAGGAGGAGGAGGAGGAGGAGGAGGAGGAGGAGGGAGAAGCAGAGCAGCCGATAGAGGTGGGAGGAGGAGGATAAGGAGCACGACGTCTTTGTTTCTTCTGGCCGTAAGCATCCTTACGGCCGGGAAGCATCGCTCAAGACCTCCCACGCTGGCGGCGCCACCGGCTTCGCAAGCCCGCTGAGGCCCTCGAGGCGCTCTAGGCCGTTTCGCTAGAGACATCCTCGTCTCTCTTGCATCCGAGATGCCGTCAGCGAGGCGCTCTGGCCCGATTCGCTTGAGACATCCACGCAGCTCTCGTGCCCGAGATGCCGCTCGAGTCGCTCCGGCCCGTTTCGCCTAAGGCATCCTCGCAACTCGGAGCTCCGAAGCTCCGCTCGCAAGCCGCTCTGGCCCGTTTCGACTAAGGAATCTTCGCAACTCTGAGCTGCGAGATGCCGCTCGCAAACCTGCATTGAAAAAATGACACCCCTTGAGGCTTTCAATTTATTAATATGGGAAGTCCCAGGATGACCTTTTTCAATTTCATTCTTTCATTCACCAGAATATCAGAGTCCATGCTTCAATCTGTGAATTGTTCAATCTCGCGAGCGTTGGATTGAACGTTCCAATTCCGCAGGCTCAATCTTAACCTCTATATTGAAAATGTTCAACCTGGGACTTCAGATCACAATATTGAGCGGACTCAAACCCGATTGTCGATTTTTATGCAGTGGATTACGCAAGGATGCTTTTTTGTGGCAGATGCTGTAGCGGGTTGTAGGGAGATTCTATGTTGTGGTTGTTTAAAGCAGAATTCCTATTGTTGGGAATTTCGAACTAATTCCTTCTGTAGGTTTACACACGGATATCATGTGCGGCTGAATGTAAACTATTTTTTGGTATGGAAACGGATCGCCGGTGCGGGCATGCGCCCGGGCCCCTTCAGGGCGAGGCAGGTGAGGCCATGGCCTCGCATGAGAAGCTGCGCGCGTCGGGGGTCTACTCAGGACAATGCGTACTTCAGGAGCTGATTTCCCGACAGTCCCCACTCATCCGTTTTCTCATGATGTAGCCAAGTCGTCTCGTTGAAATCATAATGCTTGTGGTGTGAGACTGTCGGGGATCCCCGTGGTGTCATCGTCCTTTCTGCGATCTCGAACTCATAGCAAAACGCGTTCGAGTTGAACTCCTCGGACCTGCAATCCACTGCACATGGGTGTGGGAGCACTGGTGCTCTCATGAACTCTGTGCCACATCCTTCCGGTATCACTCAAGAAACAGATCACCACGTGCAATCGAAGACCCATGCGCGCTCCCAAAGGATTCCAGTTGTAGAGTTTTGCATGCTAACTTCTTCTTTGGCGGGCTACAACCGGATTCCATGTGTTGTTGAATGCGAACTGATTTCTTTAGTAGCGGAACGCAGTGAAGTCTAAGCCTTTTCTCCCTCATCCCTCGGACGACCCCAAACCTTACAAGGGATGTGAAAGAACGTCGTTGCAGAGCACTCTGGAAAGAAGACCTGCTAGATATACGATGCTCGATAAGTTGGGATGCAGCGAGGGATGACGAGGAAGAGGAGGTGGAGGAGGACGAGGATGAGAAGGAGGAGGAGGAGGAGAAGGAGGAAGAGGAAGAGGAGAAACGGGTGCGTGGCGGTGGCGGAAGTGGTACGGGCCCTCTCAAAGGTTTGCGCCACCCACCCGCACAAAGGTGGCAGGCGAGGCGGAGGAGGAGGAAGAGGAGAAGGAGGAGGAGGAGGAGGAGGAGGAGGAGGATGCGGGAGGTGGGAGGAGGAGGATGTGGAGGAAGAGGAGCAGGAGATGGGAGGTGGGACGTTGAAGGTGCGAGGAGGTGCGAGGAGCAGGAGGAGGCGGAGGAGGAGGAGGAGGAGGAGGAGGAGGAGGAGGAGGAGGAGGAGGACGAGCAGGGGGTAGAGTGAAACGTCGAGGGGCACAGAGAGGGGGGCGGGAGAGAGTGGGGGGGGGATGGGAAAACCGGCCCCTCCCCGGGGCGTGAACCTCCTGCCACGGCCGCCGCCTCTGCGGAGGGCCGCGGCCGCGCTAACAAGGGCGCAGCGGGGGGGGCCCCCCCCGCGCCCCTCTGCGGCCAGGCTCGGGCACTGCCCGTGCGGGCCCCACGGAGGTGGAGGTATCGGACGCCCTTGCGGGGCTCCACCTGGCTGCAGGCATCCTGATGGAGCTCCGCTGCCCAGCTAGCGTCTCAGAAGTCTGGCCTGCAGGGGCAGGCCTCACCTCTGGTTGCCCAGCCCGCCCGCGAGGAGGAGGTGCGAGGAGGAGGAGGAGGAGGAGGAGGAGGAGGAGAAGGAGGAGGAGGAGGAGGAGCAGGAGCAGAAGCAGGGGGTAGAGGGCAAGGCCGAGGGGCACGGAGAGGGGGAGGGCGAGAGAGGGGGGGCGGGGGGACGGAAAGAAGCCGGCCCCTGCCCGGGCAGGCCCGCCTCCCCTCCGACAGCTTCCTGCCCCACGGCTTCGACGGGTGCGTGGACCTGGAGCAAGGGGCGGGCCGCGTCCGCCTGCACGTGCGGGCCCTCCGGGAGGCGTGCATCTCGCCGGTGCGCCGCGGGGGGGGGGGGGGGGCCTGACCTTTCGGGGGCGGAAAAGAGGGGGGGGATGACTAGGGGGGGGGTGGATATCATGGCGTGGGCCATGATATTTCCCCAGATTTCGAGGCGCCTCTTCTTATTTCATTACGTCCCTGGCCCCCCCGCTGGGCCGCGCACATGCCGCCGGTCATGATTTGCACCCCCCCCTCTTGGACACCCCCCTCTTGGCCGCTGCCGAACCTTCCAGAGGGCCGAGAAATAGCCCTCGAGACTTTCAGGAGGGGAACAAAAACACACAGACACAATTCATCGTCGATCCCACCGAAAATGTGCGAAAATACGGGAAGTGGGGGGGGAAGACGAAAATCCAGAAATTATAGGAAAAATAAGGAATCCGGTTATTTGTGTTTACTTATTTGTGTCCCAGGGCCCCTTCAGACTTGTAGACCTATCTGGACTGCCTAAAACCTCGACAGGAATTTAGATGTCGAGGTCCTGGTGCTATTTTTTTGGCCCTCCTGGAAGGTCAGGGGAGAGGCGGGTGGGTCGGAGGCGGCCCTAAGCGGTGTGGTGGCCACACCGCGCGTGGTGAGCCAGGGAGGGCTCGGGTTGAGTCGGGCCTGTCCCTCTACAGGAGGAATTTGCAACAATCGCCAAAGAAAAAGTCTGGGGGCGATTTTTAAAAACCATTTTTTTTGTGTTTTAGAGCAATGTCCAACTGTTCTTCGTTTTTCGTCCAAAATCCCCCTGTAGGGGGACAGGCCCGACCTAAGGCTCGAGGTCACGACACGAATTTTGGGCTCTGGGTGGACCTCCCAGGACGTCTCGGGCGGCTGGGGCCTCCAGGGTCCCAGGACCTTGGCGGTGGCGGACCGCGCGGTGAGGTCGGCGAGGGCTCGGAGGCCAGCGCGCGGTCCGCCGCCGCGCGGCTTTGGGGTCCCGAAGCCGCCAGGCCCAGGACGAGGGCGAGGACGGTACGCTCCACATCCAGACCTCCCAGCGCACTAAACAACAACTTTGTTATGTTTGATCCGCGGGTCGAGAGCGCACCTCTTCCGGTCGAAGCTAAGCGGGCCGCGCGAAGCTTGAATTACGCAGAGAAGGGGGAGGAGAAGGGGGGCGCAGCCTCAGAACGAGGCCGGGAGGAGGCGAAGCCT